AAATAACAATGACATCTGCATGTTGTTTTATATTGAATGCATACTTTACCAGTAGTAACATTCGTTCCTTCTGTTATTTCAGTCTTCCTGATATAACTGAGAATATCGTGGATGTAAGTTAGAATATTCATCTCATCTTACTGCAAATGTTCTTCTATCGTGTGAAGTATGTTTCATTGTAAACTATGAGAATATAACGCGCCTTTTCCAGGCTAGATATCCTGCTAAAAGCGCACAATCTGATTATTATTACCCCGGATAACCCAAGCTGGCTGTGAGGCGCTAGAAGGTTAATAGTCTCTCGGCTTATTTCACCGGGTACCCATTTTCTGCTAGGTGAACAGAGGCAATTTTGAACAAACTCACTCGTCTAAGATGAGACCACATGTATCACCTGTGCTTCGTTGTGGGGCAGGACTGAAATCGTAGAAACTCTCAAGAGTCAAGCTGCCAAACACGGTCACCCATCCAAGGACTCTCCGCACCCAACGTTGCTTAACTTCAACTGAATGTGACCTGAGCGTTCTACAGGGACCGTTGTGAGAACAACAATCTACTCAACAACGTAAATTCCGATTGTATTACGTTTCCATGCATTTGTATGTGCCCTTAATAGGTATATCCCAGCATAGTTACTGAACTGACGCATCAAAATGTAACATTTGGCATCTGCAATAATCTATATATATGCAGATACACACACATGCATATATATTATAACTTGTAATTTTAGGACTAGGTAGCTGGAGACGACAGCAGTGTCAACTGCAACATGGCGCAGACGACAGCTTCGTATGACTACGTACGGTTCACATTTCCCGATATCCACGGACGGTCGAGAGGTAGAGTTGTCCCTAGTCGTCACGTCGAGCGTTGTCTGAAGACTGGTGTTACTATTGGAGTTGGTAAGTGCACAGACATCTTTCCCTAATGTCCGCGTCGCTGTATCAGAGATATAGCTTGATGAGGTGTTCTTGTTGTTAACGCTGCAGTCAGTAATCTTCTCTCTGACGTTGGTCTGTAAATAATTGAAATAGCTTGATGGGGTGTTCTTCTTGTTAACGCTGCAGTCAGTAATCTTCTCTCTGACGTTGGTCTGTAAATAATTGATATACTGACTGACTGACTGAGTTTGGTTTTACGCCGCTTTTAGCAATATTCCAGCAACATCACGGCGGGGGACACCAGAAATGGGCTTCACACATTGTACCCATGTGGGGATTCGAACCCGGGTCTTCGGCGTGACGAGCCAACGCTTTAACCATTAGGCTACCCCACCGCCCCCAATAATTGATATAGCTTGATGAGGTGTTCTTGTTGTTAACGCTGCAGTCAGTAATCTTCTCTCTGACGTTGGTCTGTAAATAATTGATATAGCTTGATGAGGTGTTCTTCTTGTTAACGCTGCAGTCAGTAATCTTCTCTCTGACGTTGGTCTGTAAATAATTGATATAGCTTGATGAGGTGTTCTTGTTGTTAACGCTGTTAACGCTGCAGTCAGTAATCTTCTCTCTGACGTTGGTCTGTAAATAATTGATATAGCTTGATGGGGTGTTCTTGTTGTTAACGCTGCAGTCAGTAATCTTCTCTCTGACGTTGGTCTGTAAATAATTGATATAGCTTGATGAGGTGTTCTTGTTGTTAACGCTGCAGTCAGTAATCTTCTCTCTGACGTTGGTCTGTAAATAATTGATATAGCTTGATGAGGTGCTCTTGTTGTTAACGCTGCAGTCAGTAATCTTCTCTCTGACGTTGGTCTGTAAATAATTGATATAGCTTGATGAGGTGTGTTCTTGTTGCTTAATCTTCTCTCTGCGTTGCAGATATAGCTTGATGAGGTAACGCTTCTCTTCTGACGTTGGTCTGTAAATAATTGATATAGCTTGATGAGGTGCTCTTGTTGTTAACGCTGCAGTCAGTAATCTTCTCTCTGACGTTGGTCTGTAAATAATTGATATAGCTTGATGAGGTGTTCTTGTTGTTAACGCTGCAGTCAGTAATCTTCTCTCTGACGTTGGTCTGTAAATAATTGATATAGCTTGATGAGGTGCTCTTGTTGTTAACGCTGCAGTCAGTAATCTTCTCTCTGACGTTGGTCTGTAAATAATTGATATAGCTTGATGAGGTGTTCTTGTTGTTAACGCTGCAGTCAGTAATCTTCTCTCTGACGTTGGTCTGTAAATAATTGATATAGCTTGATGAGGTGCTCTTGTTGTTAACGCTGCAGTCAGTAATCTTCTCTCTGACGTTGGTCTGTAAATAATTGATATAGCTTGATGAGTCAGTGCTCTTGTTGTTAACGCTGCAGTCAGTAATCTTCTCTCTGACGTTGGTCTGTAAATAATTGATATAGCTTGATGAGGTGTTCTTGTTGTTAACGCTGCAGTCAGTAATCTTCTCTCTGACGTTGGTCTGTAAATAATTGATATAGCTTGATGGGGTGTTCTTGTTGTTAACGCTGCAGTCAGTAATCTTCTCTCTGACGTTGGTCTGTAAATAATTGATATAGCTTGATGAGGTGTTCTTGTTGTTAACGCTGCAGTCAGTAATCTTCTCTGGTCTGTAAATAATTGACGTTGGTCTGTAAATAATAATCTTCTCTGATTGGTCTGTAAATAATTCACATAGCTTGATGAGGTGTTCTTGTTGTTAACGCTGCAGTCAGTAATCTTCTCTCTGACGTTGGTCTGTAAATAATTGATATAGCTTGATGAGGTGTTCTTGTTGTTAACGCTGCAGTCAGTAATCTTCTCTCTGACGTTGGTCTGTAAATAATTGGCCATACAATCCCGTTATAGATATCATTGGATTCGATCTACGCATTTGTGATACAATGATGGCATCAACCAAGCCAGCGAGCTTGACAACCCGATCCCGTTTGTCGCATCTTACGACAAGCATGGGTTGCTGGTGACCAGTTCTAACCCGGATTTTCATGTCTTTTTAGTAAATTAAGAAGTGTATGTGTTCAATCACTTTCCGATATTTAACTGTAAAATACAGATAACACTGATGATGTTAAAAGAAACGATAAAAGCCTTTCCACTTTCGTAAGATGTATCTGCTAATATGTATTGTGAAGAATGGGTGGTTGGTACCAAATGTTCCAAATCGCCACATTGTGTCTGTTAGAGATGGGTATAATACGTGCATGTAGTTAACAAGTATCCACAAAATTACGTGGGTGTTTAAGTAGTAAACGTTATGCTTAACACACAGTTACATTCCAAACATAGCGATATCGTAATATCGATGTAGCAAGCACGACAAATATTGCCAAGAAGATGAATAGTACGTGTACTCAGTATGTGGAGATTTAAGAACCAGATCGCATTGGCCACTCAAGATACACCCACGAATATTTGCTAAAAGGTGAGGATCCTCCGTTTTGCATCCCTTGTGATGAGAGAATTACGGTCAAGCATGTCCTGCTTGACTGCATTGATTTTTCCATCACAAGGGATAAATATTTCAATGTTAAAACTGTGAAGGATCTTTTTAGTAAAATTAATTATCATTTAATCATTGAGTTTTTAAAAGAAACAGAATTGATTGATAAATTTTGATTCATATGTTTTGTGAATAGATAAATGATATTTTATAATCGGTAGAATAAATCAGCAGCTAAGATAGTTAAATTATTGTCCTGAGAGAGGGTACGTAAGTCCCAAAACTTCCCAAGTCAATTTAGTTCTACACACCTTTTTAATCGTAGAATATTTGTTATTTTATTATGGCTACATATCAGTACAATCGCCAGTGGCTGAAGGGACGATATAAATCCAGCTAGGGTCCATGCAGGTAGCCAAAGTACTGTAAGTCCCCATGGTCCCTAGAGTGGTGATCTACCTTCAGTTGTTGGCGATCCTAGCCTTATTCTATATTGTATTGTCCTAATTTGAAATCCTATTTTAGAGATATACGCTAGTTGTATTTCCTATTACTATTACTATTACTATATATATTACTGTCCTTCGTCGGCAGAGTTTTTAAATTTGCGCATTTGTCATGAATTTATAACTGTCTTAAATCACGATATGGCTGAAATACTGCCGCTGTGACTATAAACTTTAACTCACTCACTCACTCACTCACTCACTCACTCACTAAGAACCAGATACTTAACCTTTCTTACGAGTACATACAAAGAAACTATGTACAGTTAATGAACAGCATCATTTTCAACCTTCTTCACAGACATGCATTTTTTTGTCAGTATAATATTTGAAAGAATATTAAAAATACTAATAAAACGGCGAGAGTGACTGCATTCACGAAATAAAACTTTTTAAAAGAAGTCATATTTTCTTTATCTGCTACTCACCTACTTATAAAACGCCATTCAAACAGTTCGTGACTCGGCTGTCTCTAAATATATTGTAAACATTATTCCGAAGTGAGATTGTAGCATCTTCCATGCACAGCAAACAGGTTGGGGTAGAGATGAAGCCCTTGGCCGAGGCCTGTACAAACAAGATGGTTGATGTAGTGTTCTGTTATGGTGTGTTGCCATAGTGTATTATTCTTCTGAAGAGGAGGTGGTAAGTTGATGGGATGCAGTAACCAAGGTTACTGTTAACGGGGTCACTATAAAGTACTGATTCTTTACAATACCTGTTTCAGATGTGCTCATGCTTGGAGAATGGCTTGGAAAGGTGCAAACAAAACTGATCGATAGAAACAACATATGCATAATTGGTATCCCTGACCTTTCAACTTTGAACGCCGTCACGTGGGATGGTGATGAGAAGTTCAAGGTTGCTGAGGTCATCTGTGAAGGCTACTGGTTAAAGGACAGAACGCCGTTTAATGTTTGTCCTCGGTATGTGGCCAAGAAGCAACTTCAACGTTTGTCGGACCACGGATACAAAATGCTGTCAGGTTTTGAAATGGAATATATGTTGTATGATGTTAACAACAGTCCCATGTCAGGCCTCAACCATATGAGTCACAGACTTCACTCAAAACACAGCCGCTTTCTCTTTGCTCTTGAAAATGGAATGCATCATGCTGACGTGGATATTGAAAATTTCCACTGTGAATGGAATGCTGGTCTCTTTGAGGCTGTCATCAACGCCTCCTTTGGCATCAAAGCTGCAGATTCGGCATTTAAATTTCGAAACTGCATTCACGAAATTGCCGATAAGGAGGACTATCGAGTAGACATGACGTCCAAGCAGCCAACAGGGGAAGTTGGAATGCATTTAAACCATTCTATTTGGTCTGTCAGAAAAGGTGAGAATGTTTTTAGTGATCCGAACTGCCCAAATGGATTGTCAGATTTTGGAAGATGCTGGCTTGCTGGACTGATGGAACATGCAAGAGCATTAACCGCCTTTTGGTGCCCTACAGAGAACTGTTACAAACGGCTACATCTTCCTAGGAAACCAGGGACAATTGACTGGGACTTTGACAACCGTCTGTCTTCTGTGAAAGTCAAGGTAGATAATGAAAACCGCGGGGTCTACCTGGAGAACCGCATCCCAAGTGGCATGACCAATCCTTACCTGACACTAGCAGCCACTATAGCTGCTGGCTTGGACGGCGTCCTCAAAGGACTAGAGTGTCCTCCTCCTCGTCCTGAACTAACATCTGACAATCTACCCTCAGCTACAGCTCTACCGTCCTCTCTGTCAGAGGCACTGCATGCTCTAGAAGCAGATAATGATATGGTAAACATCTTGGGAAAGGATCTTGTCGATTGGTTTGTTCTCCTAAAATCTCAGGAAGTCAATATGAGAAAGGAACCAAGTAATGGCTGACAAGTGGCATTGACGTACAGTGCATCTTTCCTGTGGGGCGCACATCTCGCCAAGTTCCAAAGGTTCTGACTGTATATATTATAAAATATTATTCAGAACCAACCTCTTCCGTTGTAATATTTCTGGAGATTATCAAGCACTCTGTTCACGCATCTTTATATACAAGTGAGAAAGTATGGATTTACGCTGTTTCCAGCAATACTCCAGCAATATCATGGCTGTCGACACCAGGAATGGCACATATATGAAGACATCAGCACTAAACAGTATGTTAGGCTGTGATATGAACTCATTTGGAACGAAAGTAAACATGGTCAACATCAATGCATTGAGTTTCCCGCATCCAAAAGACTACGGTCAAATTATATTTAGCAACAGAGGTGCGATGTTCTTTGACTCGGGTGTTGATGGGTCGGGATGTTTCACCTATGTAGCATTGTCCACAATCACAGTCTATTTTGTAAATAACACATTTCGGGTTGTTGTTGTTGACGGTGGGTTGTTTTCTTCCGTTGGCATGGAGGAGGTTGTTGAGGCTGGAGGACGCTGAGAAGGTAGTGTCTATTCCTGCCTGTTGTTTCAGGAGTCGGCTGATTTGGTGTGATGGTTTTACCAATGTAGGGAATGGATATCTTGATGGGGGCTGATTCTAGTTTAGACCTTTTGGCAGGAGGTGAAAGCGTTGCTTCGATGGTTCTATTGACTATTTCAGGTGGGTAGTGGTTGCGTTCCACAAAGACTTTCCTCAGGTGTTCAATTTCTTCCTGTAGGTTTGTTGAGCAGATGTTTTTGGCTCTTCTGGTCAATGTAGAGATGACGCCGGTCTTGACTTTAGGTGGGTGGTTGGAGTTGTAGTGGATGTATTGATCCGTATGAGTTGGTTTTCTGTACACGGAGGTCTGGAGTTGGTTGCAGGAGGTGCGGGACACAAGGACATCAAGGAAAGGTAGTTGGTTGTTCTGCTCTGTTTCAATGGTGAATTTGATGCGGGGATGTTGGCTGTTGAGATGGGCGAGGAGCTGCTTTGGATCTTGCTGAGGTTGGAGGACGACGAAGGTGCCATGCCAACGGAAGAAAACAACCCACCGTCAACAACAACAACCCGAAATGTGTTATTTACAAAACAGACTGTGATTGTGGACAATGCTACATAGGTGAAACATCCCGACCCATCAACACCCGAGTCAAAGAACATCGCACCTCTGTTGCTAATTCCGACACCAAATCAGCTATCTCTGACCACATCAAAGCCAACCCCAATCATCAAATAGAGTGGTCCGACATTACCATTCTCGCCAACAACCAAACGGACTTCACTAAACGCAAGCTCACAGAAGCCATTCACATCAAACGCCACAAGCCTACCATCAACCGTGACCAAGGATACTTCATTCCATCTGCTTATGATCCACTCCTCCACCAAGCCCAGTCTATTGTATAAACATCGCATCCATTGTATAAACATCTCATTGTAACTACATCTCTGGCTTCCTCTCACTATCCTTTATGTACTTACTGGCTTCATCAGCTTACTGCTTAGCCAATCATGGCAATTATGTTGTTTCCTTTGTCTATTATGTTGTTTCATTGTTATATACAGTATATATATGCAGCTCCTACACTTCATGTATCACTCTTGCTTGACAACGGTACAAGAATCTGTATCGAAACGTCGCACTCACGAAAATAAAGAAGTTGTTATCCATAAAACTTGTTATATATTGTCAAATTATATACTTTCCCAAAAAGGAAACGCCGACGTTCCTAATCATTAACGAGTAGCTGCAGTTCGAGCAAGAAGACCCTAGTTTGGCCCTGTGCTGCGACGACTAAAACGACGTCAACGGGTCCAGAGGTGCAATAACATTCAATCCTGAAATCTACACAATTGGCGACGTGTATGGTTCAGTGAGAAACGCGCTTTCTGCTTCAGTGCCGTGACGGAATAGTACGTGTGTCCAACGTTGCGCGCCTTCAGAGCAATTTAACTGCTATTCGGTACAGAATCTTTCACATGGTTCCGATCACTGACCGCCAGGGGGAGTTGCTCCAGCAAGATAATGTCAGGCCTCACACAGCACATGCCACTTATCTCTCTTCAGAATGAGAACATTACATTGCTTCCATAGCCTTCCAAATCGCCCGAACTCAAACCCAATCGAGCATTTGTGGGATGATCTCGACCGAAGCGTACGCGTACGTGAACGTCAACCGGCGCCCCAGACATGAGATTCCACACGGTCGAATTCAAAGGCTTATTCCGTCCATGCCGAGACAGTGCAGAGCAGTTTTAGGGGCTTATGGTGGCCACAACAGATATTGAAGACAACGCCCAATCGGGAACGGAAGCCTTCACCTATTGAACTTGTTATAGGCTATACATATTAACAGACACTTGATATTTCATACTGTGAAATTCGGCTGCCACTGATCCATGACCCAGAGTTACATGTGTTATCTCACTTTCAAGTTAGCAGATTATATGTGTGAAAATACACCTATGCGTTTCTTTTTGGGGAGAGTATACTATTCATTTGTTACCTTTCCTTCAGAAATCATTGAGACTGTGCAAAGTAAGAAGAAGACTGTACTCTGAGATAGTGAAAGAAATTAAACGACTCCAAAGACGTTCGCTCATATGTGGATCTGCAGACGAATAGCGCCCACAGTATCAACTTGATAGTAATGGTCTTAATATTGCTTTGACACGTTTAACCAAACCAGAAACAAACTCAACTTACTTAGACTTACTGAATTTGACATTTTCAGACAAGGAAACTAATGTTTACAAACTTTATGGACAACTTTCGATACAGATTCTTGTACCGTTGTCAAGCACTCACACTCACGACGTTGTCGCACTCACGAAATAATGAAATTGTGATCCATAAAGTTTGTCAATAGTGGACTTCACAACCTGTTCAATATCACTCGAAAGAGGTTATGGGAAGTGATGATTGAAATTGAAGTAACATTCTGAGACAAAAAACAATTTCCCCAAATGTCCAACAATATATAAAACAAGAGGAATTCGAGTATTATGTGTTATTTTCATTATAACAATCGGAATGACAATTATTTTTCTCGTTCTTGTGAGAATTTATCATGGATCACGGCAGACTCAGACCCTTTGCTATTTCTAAGGTAGTATCTGGCATTTGTGATCAACAACGTCACCCGTCTCGGTAGTGGTTAATTGCCAACATTGAGGTGTCTGTGCATTGTTCTCATCATGAACACAAACACATATCATACGAATCGCAAATCCCTTCTACTTAAGAAATACACTTCGCTCTACCACCATGTAAAGTGTAATAAAACACACTTTTGCCCTGAACTAAACTGAGGGGCAAAAGAAACGTCCCCAAAGTAAAATTGTAAAAAACATTTCTTCTGTTTTCGTTATGACGGAAATTTATTTAGGAACACATCTCCCGAACGCATCCCCACGTCTCACAGAAAGGAAATCCACGTGGAGTTTTTTGTAAGCATGAAAATTGCTTTTATTCACGTTTTTTGCATGCTTCTGTGGAAACATACCCGTATGAAAGTACAGTATAAAAATTATGCTCGACTGTTCGAATTCATCACTTCAATACGTTGGACACAAAGAACATGCCTCTGACTCACGGCAGAACAGAGAGAACGAGCTATTGGGATGTGCTGCAGCTGCGTGCTTCTCACAGTCACGTTGCAAGAATCATGGGTTGCAGCAAGAAAACCATCACCAGACTGATGACACGCTTCAGAACAAAGCAGGTCGGACTGCAGACAGGCCTAGGACAGGGGAGACCACCCGTAACCACCCCTCAGGAAGACCGCCATTTACGGGTGCTTCAATTTGCGCAACAGATTCCTGACTGTGACAGACGTCATCAGCAACAACCAGCCTTACCCATCCAGTCAGTAGAAGGACCATATCCAGACGACTCCGCCGATTCGGTATCAGAGCCTACAGACCATTCCGGGCGTGACGTTAACGCGTGAACATCGACGTCGTCGATTGGCTTGGGCACGTAGAGTTCGGCAGTGGCAGCCGCGGAACTGGCGCCAGGTACTCTTCAGTGACGAGCCGCTTCCAGTTGAACAAAGCTGATGGTCGGGTACGAGTCTACAGACGTCGGAACGAACGTACAGCACGTTGTTTGCGTTCAGGAAGTTGAGACGTTTGGCGGCGGTAGTGTGATGGTGTGGGGGGGATTTGTGGCGAGAGGAAGACTGACTTGTTGGTGATAGAGGGAAACCTGAATGCCCGTCGATACATTGATGTTGTTTTACGACCTGTCGTGTTACCCTTCCTCCAGCAGAATCGAGGCGTGTTGTTTCAGCAGGATAACGCTACTCCCCACACCGCACGTGTTGTTACCCGGAACTTCCTGAACAACAACAACGTAAACGTCATTCCTTGGCCGCAAGATCCCCGATTTATCACCTATTGAGCACCTATGGGATCATCTCGGCCGTCAGGTTAAGCAACGTCAACATCCCCACAGACAAGAAACGCTTTGGCTCAAGCTCTACAGGAAGAATGGCGTCGCATCCCATCACGTGATCAGACGTCTTGTGCACTCTGCACGACGTCGTGTGGCAGCATGTATCGCTGCAAGAGGTGGACACACTCGCTACTGAGGAGTTGACACTCAAAGACACTCTGTCAGTACTGATGTGCATGTGTTGTCAAGATCGAAAACCGGACATTTGAACCTCCTGTGAAAAACGTCACAAAACTCTACTTACAGCAAATTGTTTCAATTGTTCTGTAATGACAGTCTGCATAATATGTTCAAAAATTATATCAAACATTTCAACATTGAATTGCACGTGTTTGTATCATTTTATGATACAAAAATGATCGGGGGCGTTTCTTTTGCCCCTCAGTTTATTATAGTTAAAGCACGAGGACGCTTGCGTCCGAGTGCTTTAACGTTATAATAGTTCAGGGCGAAAGTGTGTTTTATTACACTATACATGGTGGTAGGGCGAAGTGTATTTCTTTTCTA